CAAAAACTTCAAATACCATCCTAAATGTGGTAAACTTAAGATAAGTCATTTGATATTTGCGGATGACCTTCTTTTATTCTGCAAAGGGGAGCCTTACTTTGTTCAAAGAATTCATCAATGCTTCTCCAACTTCAGTGCCATTTCTGGATTAGATGCTAATTCAAACAAATATTCAATCTTTTATGAGGGAGCTGATAATTCAGTCAAGGAATCCATTCATGCTCTATTGGGTTTTCCTGAAGGCACATTACCAATCAGGTATTTAGGGGTGCCTCTGATATGCAAGAGACTTTCATATGCAGACTGCAGTCCTCTTTTCACAAAAATTACTAACCAACTTCAGGCCTGGACTAAACATAGAAGTATGTCTTATGCTGGAAGATTGCATATTATAAAAAATGTCATCCTAGGAATTCAAATCTACTGGACATCCAGCTATGTTCTTCCAATGAAAGTCCTTCAAAAGATTGATGAGCTATGCAGATTTTTCCTCTGGGGAAGATTAGATCAGATTCATAAAACTCCACTAGTTTCATGGGATAAGATCTGTCTTGGGTTAAAGCATGGAGGCTTAGGGATTTTTTCTGCTGAAATTTAGAGTAATGCTTTAGCCTTGAGAATTCTTTGGTACATTCATATTAACAAAGAGGCTCTGTGGATCAAATAGGTTCATGTGAACTATTTAAGAAATATGGATATCTGGAGAGTTGAGGTGAAAAAATGAGACTCATGGATGTGGAAACAGTTGCTTAAGGTCAGAGATAAAATGATAATTTCATGTGGAGGAGTCGAGAACCTAAAACTGAAGATTAATTCATGCTACAAAGTGCCTAAAGTCCATATATCTGATCTGTATCATTGCTTATGTCCAGTAACAACTACAGTGCCTTGGTATGAAACAGTCTGGGAGAAACTAAACTACCCTAAGCAGTCTTTTATACTATGGCTTGCAGTTCAGGATAGGCTGCTTACTCAAGAAAAACTGCAAATGAGAGGAATAATTCAAGTTAACAAATGTTGCTTATGCTCTGGGGCTGAATCAGAGGACCGTGATCACCTATTTTTCAGATGTCAGTATTCGAAGGATGTCTGGAATGAGATTATGGAATGGTTCAATTTTAATTGGAGGACATGTGATTGGGAGCTGCTGGTTAATTGGTTCAATTGTAGGTTGAAGAGGAAAGGTTTTAAACAAAAAACCAAGAGAATTGTGTTTTCAGCTGCATTTTATTGTATTTGGAGAGAAAGAAATGATAGAATTTTTAATCAAAGATGTCATAATACTGAACAGCTGATCAGGAGCATAAAAATGAAAATTCTAACCAACATCCTCAACAATAACAAGCTGTCGGATGAACATAAAGACTGGATTTTATCCCTATAGATAGCATTTTGTTCCTGGATCTTGTTGCTGGTTTCTTTGTACAGGTTGCACATTATGCACATTGTGCACGTTTAGTAGAGCTGCTTACTTGTTGCTTGTGCATAATGATTCAGTAGGCTGAAGCTATCTCCTGCAGTCCTTTCCTGCAGTTATTAGCATCGAAGCTCCTCCTTCAGATAATATTGCTCTGTTGTGGTTTTGTGCACATGATTATCTAATTGTGTACATGTCTATCTGGTTCAGATAGTTCTGTTGGTAGTATACATGATTGCCTGGTTAAGATTGATTATCGGTAAGGAACCGTATAGAGAAGAAGAAGCTACTACTTTGAGTTGGCTCATGAAAATTAGAGGCAATGCACAGTGGCTATGAGCAGGATTTGTAATCTGTCTCTTAATTTTTGCTATAGCTCGGTCTTGAGCATTAGCTATAGGTTTTGGTTTGTTATCTCACTTACATAACATGTATTTGAGATTCTTGATGTACAAAAACTTTACATATTGGTGATGAATAAAATTTTTCATTTACCGAAAAAAAACCTAGATTATTTATATGAGCTTATAAGCAATTTTTAAGAGTTGAGGAATCCCAACTTTTTTCAATGAAACTTATAAACCAGCTTATTGGTAATTTACTAAACATTTATATAAGAAAAAACTATAGCTTAAAAGCTAATTTGACCAAAAAATAAGCTTTCCCGAGCACCCTCTATGTATTTATGTTGCACTGGTGTGTATTGTAATCAAGGGCAAATTATACTTAAATGCCCAAAGTTTGCTCTATATTGCACTTAAATACCAAAGTTTAAAATTCTACATTTAAGTACCCAAAGTTTGTCCGATATTGCATCAAAATACCTGAATTAAGTTCAAAACCCTACACTTAAATACCTAAAAAATTCTAAAAGTTGCACTTTAATACCCGATGCAATGTGTGAGAATTTTGCCCTAAAAATTCTCATGTGACACTCGCATGCTATTTTAAGAACATTTTAACCCTTATTTTTAGTTAAATCGGTTGTTAAACCTCTCAAAATCCTATTTTAAGATAGAATAAGTACGTTTAAAGTAGGATTTTAAGCGGTTTAACAATGGATTTAACTAAAAGCAAGTTTTAAAATGTTCTAGAAACATAATGCGATTGTGAGGGGTATACCAATAGATTTAACCAAAAGTAAGGTTTAAAATATTCTAAAAATAGAATGCGATTTGAGCGGTTTAACATAGATTTAACCAAAAGTAAGGTTTAAAATATTCTAAAAATAGAATGCTAGTGTCACACGAAAATTTTCAGATCAAAATTCCCACGTTTGCATCTCTTTGAGCATTAAAGTGCAACTTTTAGAGGACTTTGAGTATTTAAGTACAGGGTTTTAAACTTTGGCATTTTGGTGCTATGTCAGGGACACTTTGGGTATTTAAATGTAGGATTTTAAACTTTAGATGTTTTGGTTCAATGTCAGGCAAACTTTCCATATTTTAGTGTAATTTTATCCTATAATCTATTCAATCTGTCAGGAATAGTTGGAAATGATTTTCTTTTAAAAGGATAATCCAATCTATTTTTGAAGTGTGGTCATGTTCAGTCTCTGTGGTAAGGGTGCTAAACTGTATCCGTACCGAGAAAATATCCGTAACCGTATCTGTTAAAATATAGATTTGGTTACTCAAATCGATCTATAACCGATAGGATATGGTTACAGAGATGGTTTTGTAGTGAAATATCTGTATTCGTATCTGTATCTGAAATATCCGAATACATATTAATCATACTCTTACGATAGTTTCGACTCTTAGATTATGGATTTGTGATTAATTTTGAGGATCAAGATGTCTAATCTTAACTTTTCAGTTATAATGAAGATATTAACGAGCTCTTTTGTATCACATGAACTATATTTTTCTCAATACTATCTACTTTTCTAAAATCTATTTTGTATCCGTATGCATATCCGCGTGTATATCCGTAACCGTATCCGATTTTAGCGGACATGATTATAAATTTTCCTTACCGAGATATATCCGTATCCGAGATGGGTAAGCGGATACCGAGATGATAAGCATCATATCCGAGCCGTATCCGGACCGAATGCACCCATACTCTGTGGAATCCGCTATGTTTTAATCTCAACATTTCTCGGAAATATAACATGCTGCCGTGTTTCCAAGGGGCCGGGGCCAAGAGAAAATTATCACCCTATTTGCGTGCTTTGCTTTGGTGCGCGTATGCTGTAGGGGAAACAGGAGAATCTTCACACAAAAATAAACGTTTAACTCTGGAGGCGTGGCATTCAATTATTTGCTTTAAACTGATTTCTAGACGAATAGCATGCCCGGAACTTCTTGCTCTATTTTGCTTGGAGGTGCTGGGGATGGGTCTTCTTGCTCTGTTTTGCTTGACAGACCCGGCAAAAATATGAAATGGACCGTCTGGGTTGTTTTCAGTCTTTTGTACGTGTGTTTCAGGAACTTATTGCACTTGCTTTTATATGAATTGGGATTGTGTTTGTGACGATGTGTTTAGGTTTGCGATGCTGGTGGTCCGTGGATCACACTCTAGGGTTGGGGATTACCCCTTATACGTGTAACAGGCTTTTTTTTTTTTTTTTTTTTTTGAGTAGTAGCATGGCTGGGATGATCTCATTTTTTGAGGTCGCATAATTTTCCTACACAAAAATTTTAAAAATAAAAAATAAAAGGAAAAAAAGAGCAGCCCCATTTAAGCCCATGTTATATATGCTATGGATAACCATCAAGGGAGGACCTAGAAAACTTTGATCACTTGCGGGGCGGGGGGGTCTCTACAATTCAACAATTAGTCACCCGGAGGAGTTGGTGGAATCTTGCGATTTGCGATTATTAGAGCGGAAAGTTGAGGGCGTTTCGGAATTTGAGGGAAATAGTTGTTGGGAGTTTGGGGATTGAGTAATGGATTTTAGGTGAACAGGATGAGTTTGGCACGTTCGGGTGTTTATATTTAAAAATATCTAAGAACTGATTCAAATAGTGTGAGAGCAGAGTAGTATACGGGGCCGAGTATTTTTAGGGGCCAACGGGAACAACTGACCCTACTGCCCACATTGTAGGTCCGCTCCTGATTATCGTTACTGTGATGTACTATTGTAATTGTTGCGATTGCAACTGTCCACATTATAGGTCCGCTCCTGATTACCGTTACTGTGATATACTATTGTAATTGTTACGATTGTAATGTAAGTTTCTAACGGTATGCAACTATAGTTACGAGGAGTGCCCATGCATGCAGTTTCTTGATTTAGTTAAAACAAATTTACAATTGGTATACGTAGTTATAAATACACGTGCTTGCTCTATAAAATATTAACTTTTTTGGGCTTATGTTAAGAGTAGGTTGCAATCCGAGTTACAATTTAAATCCCATTTTCAACTTAAAAGAATTGGCAATTGTAACTTGTGCCTTTAACTGCATTAGTCAGCAGCCGAAAATGGAGGTCATTGTGTCTTCAAAATCAGACTCCTCATGAAACCAAGAATTCCAGTTCAAGATCAACACCGCAGCCCAAATGCGTCCATGAACAAGATAAATCCAAAAACAGCAAATTATCTCGAGGAGCTGACACCATTGAACACAGAAAAGCTGAAACCAAAAGAGTTTTCACATTCGAAAATATAAATTCAAAAACAGCAAATTATCCCAAGGAGCTGACACCATGGAACACAGAAAAGCTGAAACCAAAACAGTTTTCACATTCCAAAATATCCACAACTTCTCGGTTAGCTACAATTTCCTGTACATTTTCCCTTCACTTCTGAAGAGGCTTATAAAGCACAACAGTCACATACTTTGACCGATACCTATGAGTGAGGCCAAGGGCCACAACTGATCTCGCAGCCCATCCTTTCTCGATGAAGAGATGGTTGAGGATCACATGCTGAGGTTTAACAGAGTCAGATTCGTCATCAGAGTTTTCTGGACCGAGGGAGTTGAGATGTAATTGGGGCGGAAGCGCCGGCGGGTCTTTTGCAAATTCTTCTTCCTCAGGGTATGGATGAGCGTAGCTTGTGAATGGGGAGGGAGGGGGTTCGAATTCTTTAACACTTTCGATGTTCTCTGGAATAATGTCCTGGCACAAAGAGAAGGAGAATAACTAAAATGAACGATATTAAACTTTGTAAGAGGCTAAAAGCATACTTACAGGAGATGCACAGTGGTGAAAGTTCACAATTAGACCGGACTTGCATATCTGTGTGTAATTTTGTCGGTGTCAACTCTCTCTAAAGTTCCATTATACATATAGAGGATGATACGCATAGCTCTAACGAATGGTTGCAAGTTTGTTGATCTCGCTGGCTGAAAACCTAACTAGGCTGAAAAACATTTTGTTCGGATGTTTTTTTTCCCTACGGATCAGATGATGTCATTTTCTTTAATAGGAAAATTATTCATTTCACAACCACTAGATGCATGGGAAAATCGTAGGAACCATATGATTTTTCAACTCCCATCGAAGTTCAGTTTAAATGGACCACACTACTTTTAACATTAATCAAAGTATAATGTTATCACATAACGAGAGGACAATATTCTAATGACTTGGTGACTGGTATATAGTTCAGTATTCTTTTTGCTTTTCACGATGATGGAAATTGTATCCTCCTTTCAGCATATCTGAAATCTTTCCGTTCCTATTCCATTATATTTGTCTTACTACCAGATTTTGCCACCATTTTAGGCTAAAATACTAGCAACACTGACCTGAAATATTTTGTGCAGTTGAGAGAAAACCAAAATCTAGCGTGTTGCTTACTATGAGCTGCTAGGTGTTCAAGGTAAAAATAGATAATATCTCATACAAGGTTCCTATGAAACTAGTAGAAACATATGACGGATCATGTCGTAAAAACTAGTAATATGAATAGTGAATACTCACATTTACATCAAGAATGTTGGATATCTGGCCATTCTCATCAGTAAAGAAAGGAAGATCTGGAATGTGTCTGAATTCTCCATCTACAATGAACTTGTAATGGTAAATTCCAGACGGAAGGACGAGCAGAATGGAATGATCTTTGCCTGATCTGTGCAATGCCCTCCTATAAACAAATATAGATTTTATAGATTTCCTACCTAATACCAAAAAAGACCATACTTCTTGATGACATTGTTTGCATAAAAGATAAGAGGACCTTGATTTCCAGTTATCCCACGACCCTTCTACAGCGACCTCATTTCCTCCATAATTCCATGAGATCAATGTGGGAATCCCCTTTGGAGTGGGAGTATCTGAATGTCCATGGTCATCATTCATCCATAAATGGTTGAAAGCTGGTGGTGAGGCATCAGGTCTTTGCAAAGGAGCAATTGGAACCTGCAAAATTGAGAAATGTCTGGTTAAACTTGAAACTATAATTTTCCGGGCTATGAAGTGGGACTAATTTCACACAAATTATCATAAGCAAGATGCTGGAAAAGATCAGAAGACAAGGAAGTAGACCATGTACCACTTTTATTTAACAACGCATGACAGTATTTTGCAATCTAGACATATAAGTTAAAAAACATCTAAAACTAAGTTTAAAACGTATAAAAACTAGCATAGAACAAAGAACACAGAAGATAAGAAATGCCGAAACACAATTTGGTTTGGTGCTGTTTTAGAATGCAACACGATGTGACATGTTGGCATTTTGACCTTTTGGATCATCGCACATGGCAGTTAGGTTTGATGGGTCTGGCACGTGGCAGAGGGATTCACTGGAATATATGTTTCATTGTAGCACAGAAGATGGACTCCGTAAAACAATTTCAATGCCAAAAGCTTCATTTCCTTGAGATAGAGACATAACGACCTTTTCTCCGAGTTAGGAGTTCACTCACCACTTAACTGAAGTAGGCAAATAAATAACTACATATTGATTCAAAATGGAGAGTACATGTATCCGATTTTCAAGCTTATCCACAATTTTAGTAACTTCACATTTTAAACGGCAGCCTAATTCAAGAACTGCTCATTTGCAATATAGCAGCCTTTCGTAGCTTCCATGTTCAACTATTACGTATTATAAAGCTATGCATGTTTTAGCGAACCATTAATGATGTAATTAAAACCAACAGTACTCAACTCCATCTTGATTGGTGATCCTACTGGAGCACATAGTTAGGTCAAGGTAATTGGTAATGTGAAAATGACAAATTTTGTTTTATGCATTTCCTTTAAATATCTCATACTCTTCTTATATGGAAAGGGGAAAGCATTACAAGCATCTTGGTCCATATATCATAAAAAATACAACTGATAGTAGTAAAGACTGTAATTTCAATAAAAAGGTATATTTAAGGAAACATAGGGAAATAGCATTGCCCACATTAAGAAAAATATTTCCAAATGTGAATTGTCAAAGAAATAAAAGACATATATTAACTAAGATGCTTAGATTATATATAATGTAGAAATATCAAAACATAATTTGGACTAGCACCATACTAGATTGTCTTTTAAACCATTGTTGAAATACATTGTTGCCGTCCAAGCAATTAAAAAACCATTATTTTCTTTTTAGCATATGCTGACATATGGTTAAAACTCTGAGGTTCAAACATATTAAATACATTTTTTATCCATACATATGTTAGAATAATATGATATTACTGTGTGCATCATGAATACAAACAACATATAATAGAGGGAGATGACAATCCCGAGAAAATAGAGCATGAGTACACGACAACATAACACTATATTTTATATAAAAGCGAGCATGTTCAAGGAAGTATATGGACGACATGGACTTGGGGTCATGGACTTAGGAGACGGATGCGACGACACACATGCATAGATATGCAAAATCTTAAGGAAAGCCCAAAGACATGGATGTGTCCATACACATACATAAAATATTCAATAACATGTATAACCTCAAGTTTCATGATAGAAATTGTAGAGAAATAGAAAAAGGCAAAGTTATTATTCATGGACTTGGGGTCATGGACTTGAGATTAGGGTTAGATGCACAATAACTTTGCCTTTTATATTTCTCTATATGGTATCAGAGCAACCCATGTTCGAATCTTGCTGATTACGAATTTAATGCGGATTCTAAAGAATTGTTACCACTACATGAATCTAGGTTTTCAGCCCATAAAAAAGACGCTCAACATGCGGGGACATGTTAGAATTAATATAAAACTATAATCCTTGATCCTCACCATAAGTTCAGAGTTTCGGTATAATGGTTAGAAAAACTTTCACATGGTACCAAAGCAACTTAAATTCGAATCTTGCTGACCACGAATACGAATACATCACCATAAGTTTGGAGTTTTGGTGTAATAGTTAGAGGGACTTAATTGAAGATGATATTAGAGTAACCCAGGATTGAATCTTGCCGGTCACGAATTTAATGCGAATTTAAAAAAAAATCCGCTATATGAGTTCAGGTTTTCAACCCATAAAAAGGGCGCTCAACCTACAGGGACATGTTAGAATTAATATAAAACTATAACCCTTAATCCTCATCATAATTTCGGGGTTTTGATATAATGGTTAGATGAACTTTACAAGAATCAAATGAATGCAGTTTTGTAGAATAAAATCTCTAATCATGTAAATCATGAAAAATAAACATCAACCTCCTTAAATGCAACTATCTCCAAAATGGTTCAAGGACCAACATGTAGTGGATCTATCAAATATCTATCCAAACAAGCGCCTCACATATTAATATACGTGTAAGATACAGAAATAGGAGCCTTCTGCACATGTTCATAATGTAAATGCATATACAACAACAAAATGTATATACATGATGTGGAACATATACAATACAGATATACAATACTTTTTCTAACTTCTAATAATAGGATAACATATCGTTACACACAATTCAATGACTTTCAATTGTGAAATAAACTTTGACCAGTAATGTTTTATGAAGTACCGTAATGCAACCCACTTCTTGGACTAAAACGTGCCTAAATTTATTACTGTTGTACAAAAATCACCATTTTGACGTCTCATTTTTTTAATAAAAGATGGTAAATAAAGTATGGAAGATAATGAGTCACGTATTGATATGCTATTGGTAAGAAAAGTGTCTAGAAAGCATCAATAAAATGTGTTCTACAGTAATTCATAAATATCCAAAAAGTGTCAAAAACTAAAGGGCACAGTGTAAAATTGAGGGCACCTTCAAAAATAACCTATATACGCTCAAGGAATGTCCTCACAATTGTCTTGTCCGACATAAAACGCAAGTTGCCGATAAAAGTTGCCATGCCATATAGCAATTGACAATAAAAACTTTTATGTACATCTAGTTTAAACTACAAAAGAAATAGAGGACACCTTTCCATATTAAGTATCTTCCAATATGAAAATTGTCCCAAACTGTAAACCACCCCCTTATCGTAGTCCATAAAATGCACATAGACATATGCCTGCTCTTGCATTATGCCAGCCAAATTGGGCATGTAGGAGAAACCAATTCTAGATATCATACACATCGGAACGTCCCTACCGAAAAAGGTTTAACTCGCAGCTAAGCAATAAAACCCTATTTAAGAATTAGCTAGAAACTAATGTTGGCGCTGCACATACTTAACTTAATCATGCACGCAACTATCGCTAAGTAAAGGTAGAGGATACACAATAGGCCTTCTTTCCTCTTGTTCTCCCGAACCATATTTGACTGTTAATATCACACAGACACGCATTTGTATGGTAAAATGATGTTGATGATGCTCAGCCTAGTAGTGATGATGCGATTATGATGAAGAGTCGAACAAAACAAGGAATTAACATTCGACAACTGAAGACATTTCAGCTTATCACATGTAATATTTCAAGGATTCCTTTTTCTAAAATTCTATGCACACTCAACTATGACAAAAAACCAGTCCTAAAACGTTGAATATTTGCAATACCCACAAAAGAAAAAAAAATCACAATAAATATAAAATGCTCTAGATTTGAAGATGAATCCAATTACTTTGTAAATTCTAAACTTATTGCTACTACTTCCTACTCCTACATTATCGCACAATAGCCCATCAAAGTCAACCTTTTACATTATACCCTCTAAAAAATTGGGGCAAACACTAAAATAACAGATCGTCATCCAACAAAATTCCATCAAAATTCCAAAAAATTACCCAAAATTACCCTTTTACCTATCGTTATTTCAGATATTGAGATCACCTGAGGTGCGAACAGAAAAGGGGACTGGGACCGCCTGGGGCTCTCCGGAGGAGATCTCCCGCGCTCCGCCGCAGGATTGTCGGAGCCCTCCGGCCGTCTGTCCTCCCCGCCGTCCGAATCCTGACCGTCCAATCCCACCGACTTCGCGCTCGAATTGTTACCCATCTGGAAATCCGGGAAGAAAAATGCCACTGGGCTTGGAGTTATTTACGGCGAGTGCCACCGCACGTCGCCGGGGATAATATTTCAGAGAGAGAAGGAGGGAGAAAAATGAGAGCGTAGAGAGGAGAATAAAGGTGAGATTGATGACGTGGCGTAGACAGGTGTGGGTAATGACCCGTGCGATGATTGGGTGTGGGGCCGGAAGTGGGTGAGGGTTGATGGCAAGCTAGCCGAAATGACGCGTTAGGCTTTGTTACTTATCTACATTTGGAGGACAAAGCAGAAGAATATCCTAAAAGTTTTAAAACTTTTATTTATATACCCTCACTTCTTTCTGATAGCACTTATATATCCTAAAGTATATAAAACTTGTATTTATAAATACTTTAAAGTTTTTAAATTAGGCACTTAAAATACCCTAAGATTTTTAAAACTTACGCTTAAATACCTTCGAGTTTACATAACTGAGCGTATTTATGTGTAATTTTAAAAACTTTAGGATATTTAAGTGCCCGCTATAAAACATTTAGGACATTTATGAATCGCTAAAAAAAGTTTGGGCATATAAATGCAAGTTCAGAAAACTTTAGAATATTTTATTGCTACTAAATACAATTTGAGGTATAAGTAAAAGGTACGAAAACTTATATGATATATAAGTGCTATTTAGCCTTATTATTTATATATATATAGTCTTTATACATTCTCCAATCTAGTATTATTTAAATTGTAAGGACAAATTTAAGTCAGATAGTTCAGCAATGCAATGATTGCTTAAAATTTTTTGACAAAATAAGGCATTATTAAGAGAAATTTGAAAATTTTATACACGCAAGATTAAGAAATTATCTATGAGGGCCGATAACCTTGTTACAACTTGTAAAATATATCATGCATACAACAAACACTATAAAAAATTGAGCGGTCACATCTTGCTATAAACTTTAATCAGAAAAATAATATATAATAAATTAGCAAGACAATAAATTTTAGTGCAAACAATTATAAATTAACGCAACTAAACAATGTAGATATAATAAGTATGATGGTGTGTATTTGATGCAGTTCTTTTTTTCTTTTTCTTTTTTTTTTTGTTTGGAACAAGCACGCTTGTATGCTAATGTAGCGTCACAAACTTGCTAAAATGCCCAGAACTTTCACTTTTTGCATGACTATTTGACTATCTGTCAACTATGAAGGGCAATTTCGACCTTTGGGAAAAAAAGGCGAAGAGACGATAAAGACATGCGCATAAATGGTGGGACCATACTTATCCGCTCCACGTCCTTCATCTTTATCCGTCTATCCTTTTCAAAAGCTGAGTTGGATTCGGGAGGATTCGGGTATAATAGAAATTGATTCGACCCGTTCTTTATTTTAGCGAGGATCAATTAACACAAAAAATCATTCGACCCGGTTTAGGAAGATCAATTTGCCCAAAAATCAACAGAGGTGTGATTGTTGACATTGGATTTATGTCCCTTGAGTGTTAGGCACCATCCATGATATTTAATGTATACCAAATAAATCTTAACTATTGGATCCACCCACGAATTTTGAAACATAATGATCCAACGGTTAACATTCATTTAGCGTTCATTTACGTCCTGTTTGGTGCGCGTGATTAATAAGGTTGGGCATGAGACGGTTCAAACAGCGGGTTGAACCGACCCAGCCCGGTTTGGGTCTAAATCCGGCCCACATTGGTGGCGGTCCATGGGCCGGGTTGGGTTGTGATCCAGGCCAGGAACCAAAGAAGCAAGCCCGGCTACCAATGGGCTATCCCACCCCCACCCTACCCAAGTTTAATTACAAATATTTATTTTGTTTAGCAAAAAATAATTGGACCACACGTGTCAGGTATTCAAAGTTCGAATTACATACGTGATGATCTTTGTATTGCGAATATTATTTATATATTTAATAAATATATATATATAGTATATATATATATATATATAGTATTATATTAATATATATATATTTATACTACTTAATAGTATATTGAAATGTGAATCTAAGGTGTAGACCCTAGGCTCCTAACCTAAGGAGACGGCTTAAAATGCACAGACATCCCCTATATTTTTTTACAATCGTTCCCATTGAGACTTGATCTATCACGCTTCTAAACCTAAACACACTCAATTGGGGTGAACCCCGGTTTGGACCATTCGTTGAGTCGTACCAAAAAGTCTGTGTCATAGTCGAAACGTTTAAAATAATGCAGAGTGGATGAAGGGTCAAAACACGACGGGTTCACCCAAAATGATGTCGAGCATTTAGGTTTAAGAACGTGTAGGATCAAGTTCACGCGAGCAAGATCGTAAAAAAATATTACGGGAATGAATGTGATGTTAGGCCGGCGTTTTAGGTAGGAGCTCTAGGGTGTCACCTTTAGATTCACTTTCCCATATATATTATATGATATATATATATAAATATATATATAATATATAATAGTATATATATATATATATATATATATATATTAATATATATCTATATATATATTATATATATTGCGTTTCACGCGCTACGCACAACTTCGGTAGCACTTGAGAGACATTTGCGGTTTTTTGAAAAATGCATCCCCCCCTCAGCGATGGAGACAGCCGAGTTGGTGTTTTTGCAAAAAACCAAAGCAGACCTGCTGGTCCTTTTCATGTCTCTCTCTCCTCTCTCTTCTCTCTCTCTCTCCTTCTCTCTCCTCTCCGTCTCTCTCTCTCTTCTCCCCCCCCCACGAAACAGCTCTGCTCCTTTCAATTCTCTCTCTCTCTCCCCTGAGAAAAAACCAAATTCTCCAACTCCTCCTCCAGGCAAGCCTCAAATCTCCCTCAACTCCATCAAGCCTGTACCACCACCCTCCTCCTTCATCAAAGCCCACAAAACCCTGGATCTCTCTCGTTCGCGTTCTCTCTCGTCGAGGCTCCCCCAACTCCACGCTTCGCCCAACAACGCGTCCAACGACATCCCATCTCCCATCGCCGATCTTCCCTCGATCCTCTCTCGAGCTTCTCCCATCCGCGCCGCACCCCAACCCGGCTACTGCTCGTGATCTCCCTCAACTGCCGCTTCCCCAACTCCGGCCGACCGTTCTCGATCTCCTCTCGAGCTCTCGATCCCAGCAGCCTAAGCAATAGGGAATCGGCACTGCAGTAAATACTCCATCAATGCCGCATTTTTTTTGCCACTATAGCTTTTTATAGAGATAAAATTAGTTAGTTTTGAGGGAAAATTTGAAAATTTTGGAAAAGGTTCTAAGGGACCTTAGATCCCACCAAGGACGGTCGGCGCTAAAAATCACATGATTTCTAATTATTTTTTGTCGGCGATCCACTCCGTTAAACTTGATCTACACGTTCTTAACCTAAACACAGCCACCAATTTTGGGGTGAGTCCGTCGGTTTTTGACCTTCATCCATCGCCGCAATTTTAACTGGTTTCGAATGAATGAGACTTTTGCACGGCATCACGAAGGTCAAAACACACGGGTTCACCCAAATTTGTGTGTTTGTGTTTAAGAAAACGTGTAGATCAATGTATGGAGCAGATGGAAAAAACAATTAAGGAATAATGTGATTTAGACACGCGGTCCCTTCGGTGGGACTCAAGTGTCACCTTAGAATCACTTTTCATATAAATAATATATATATAATCATATATAATATATATAATATATATATATAATAAATATATATATAATAATAGGCAGAGAGAGAGAGAGAGAGAGAGAAAGCAGAGGAGAGAAATGTGTACGCTTGGGTACTAAACATAAGTTTTGTGCTTGGTAGTGAGGTGACATATTCCGTCCACTCATTATAAATTGAGCGCACACATTCACAGGGTTGGGGATGATTGAGAATGGAATGAGTGGAGGAAATAGAACACCTCATACCAACCACAAAATTTGTGTTTGGTACCAAGCATACTCATTTCTCTTGTTATAATATATATATATAGAGAATGTGTATTGACTTGGTACCAACATAAGTTTTTGTGCTGTAGTTGAGGTGACATATTCCCCTCCAACCATTAAAATAGAGTACACATTCATAGGTTGGGGAGTATTGAGACATGGAATGAGTGGACTGGAAATAGAACACTCACTACCAATACAAAATTTATGTTTTGGTAGCCAAGCATACTCATTTTATCGTATATATATATTATATATATATATATATATATATGCGAAAAATGGTTATACTTGTACCAAGCAGATCCTTGTAGTGATGTGGACACATCTTGTCCATACATCACCTTGAGTGGAGCCTCCAAACTCAAGGTGTGATGTATGGACAAGATGTGTCAACTCACTACCAAGGATCCTTGGCCCAGTATACCATATTCCTCCTCTCTCTCTCTCTCTCTCTCTATATATCTATATAATATAAACTATATATATCATATATATATATATAATATATATATATAATATATATATAAAGAAATGAGTATGCTTGTACCGAACAGCAAATTGTGCTGATAGTGAGGTGACACAATCCCCTCAACTCATTCAATGGGGGACCCATATTCACATGGATTGAGGAATGCATAGGGATAATGCAATCATTGAATGAGTGGAAGGGATATGTCCACCTGCACTACCAAGCATAACTTTTTGTGCTTGTACCAAGCGCATACCATTTTCTCTCTCTATATATCAAATATAGCTTTAAATAAAAGTTTAAATAGGAAAAAAATAAATTAAATATAGTTTTATAAATATGAATATAAAGTTAATATAATCTAAATAAAAAATAGAAAAACAGTCAAAACCACGCATGGCAGATCCCAGGAATCTATGGGTTATGACCGACGCTCGGCCTACTGCTCTAGGTGGTGTAGGTTGGGTTGGGTCAGTTCCAAATCTCATGATTAGAAAAGCAGGCCGACCACTCTGACCGCTCGCGGGCTATCGGTTAGACCGCAGCCCTAACCCTGAACCGACGCGTTGATCACAGGCCTGAACTGGCCAATGACCAATGCCCACCCCAATATGCAATGAATGAGTGTGAACAAATCATTCTCATTATCGTTCCTTCTACAAACACAAACTTTTTTAAAAGTTAAAATGCTTGCATTCCCACTCCTCTCATCAACCAACTTTTTATGG